CTTTACTGGAAACCAGTGTGCCTCACTGTAATGTGCATGCAGATCACCTGGGGAGCTTGTTAAAAGGCAGGTTCTTAATCAGTAGGTCTGGAATGCTGCATGTTTAATAAGCCCTCTGGTTACGTGCTGCGGGGCATGGAGCCACTCAGACAGCAGGGATCTAGGTCAGTGGTTCTAACCTGGGGTGATTTGGACCCCTGGGGACATTGGGCAATCTCTGCAGACATTTGCTGTAGTTGCAGCTGGGAGTGTCTGCTGGTGTCTCACATGTAGAAGCCCGGGGTGCTACACGGTCTTCCATGACAAAGACTTCTCAGGCCCAAATGTCACCAGTGCCAAGGTTGGAAAACCCTAAGATGGTCATTGTTCCGGATTAGTGGTTCTCAACCTTGAGTCCATCTTGGAATCACCTGGAGAGCTTTGCCAATTCTGATACCTGGGTCCCAACCCCAGAGATTTTGATGTAGCTGGCCTCATTGCTGTTCGGCCATGGTGGAGACTTTAGACCTTGCCAAACTAATAACCCTGAAGAAAAAAAAATCCTGACTCCTAATGCCTGGGACAGCCCAGTATTGATTTTCACCAGGGCTGGTGCTTTTAACCTGGTGCTGTTCTCTGCCCAGTGGTGGAAATCATTTCCATAGCATTTATCTTCATAAAGCAAAATAAAAGTGAAATGATGGTGAGAAGTTTAATTCCCGTGGCTGTACTAAAAACCCTCATGACAGAGTCCATAAGAGTGGGCAGGAGACTGAGGCACGTACGCGCCAACTCCCCACAGGCATGTTTTGATATGTAGGAGCATGAACTTGGAAACGTGGAGTGTCAAATAACGTGCTGTTCCACTGTGCAGGGGCACGGTGCCGAGCCAGACTCTGTGGTACTAACTGTGACTTCTTTGCCCATCTGTAGACAGATGAATTTATGACTTTTGATGTAGAGGAACTGACAAGTCTAAACATTTCTTCTACTGGCTCACCAGTCACTGCCGTAACTCAGGACTTTAAGCAGGGCCATCGCAACACCCTCCTCGTGTGGGCCCCCAGTCACTACCGTGTGGTAAGTGGTTCAGCACCCACAGCTGGGTCCTTGCTACTGGGGACATGAGACACTGCTTCTTCCTGGTGTGACTTTGTTTTGTACCTGCATAGTATTATATGAAGTCATCCTCAGTCTATTTCTTCTTTAAGAATGCCAGTCTTCAAGTACACTTTGGAAAGTGTACTTGACTTCCAAGAAAAGTCTGACTGGTGGATGGGAAGGGTTAATATTAATTAAAATGTTTTTTTTCAAACTTCTAGAAACTGTTTAGGGTTTATGCACGTGTGTGTGTGTGTGTGTGTGTGTGTGTGTGTGTATAAGTCAAGCAGAGTACATACATGCATTCTCAGGGGACTTTTTGAGATGAAGATTCAATATATTTTTAATTGCATTAATTTTAAAAATTTGCACTGAGCAGTTGGAAAATTAGAGCAGTCTCTGAAAAATATAGTGAACATATCAGGTAAAAGAATAACATACTGTACACACAAAATATTTGATGACAAAATGTAGATATCTAATATGACATTGAGTACAAGAAGCAGCTGTGACAGAGCTGCAGGCGTTCTGTAAGGTGAAGCCAAGTGAGATTCTACAGAACTGCTACACAGGATTGAGACTCTTGGTCATTTGCTTAATTAGGGAGCTGCTGAGCGGTTTGTTCTAAGTTCTTGGAGAGCAGTGTTCCCTGGAACTACTGGCCAGCAAGGATCAAAAACTGCAGAGGCTCATGTTAGCCTCAGGGAAAATCAGGCCTGAAGAAATCGCCCTTCAAATGTAATCAGGCCCTTAGCTCCTAGGATAGATGTCAACGCTGCCTTCTCAGAGACTGAAAAGTTCATCTGAACTTATTCTAATGAGTAAGATTTTGAAATTGTTTTTATATTACTGTTTTCTCTCTCAGGTAAATGATGGCCTTAACAAGAAGCCAGATAAAGGAGAAAATGGAATCAGGTATGTGTATTTCTTCAACACTTAAGTTATATCAGCTTGTTATGGAAGTAATGCAAACCCGTAGTGAAGTCCAACTGTAACAAGGATATAAAAGGAGAGGGCGGGGTTCGTCCCAAGAATGTAAGGCTGGTTAAATAGTTTTAAAAAACGATCAATAAAAGCCATCGTCTTAATAAACTAAAGAGGAAAATTCACATGATATTATCAACTGATGCAGAAAAGGTATTTGATGAAATTCAGCATCCGTTCGTGATAAAAACTCTCAGCAAACTAGGAATAGGAGGGAAAAGGGGCATCTGCAGAAACTCGAGCTAACATTATGGTGGAAGTCTCAAAGCTCTGCATAAGATCAGGGACAAGGGAGGAGTGTCCCCTCTCCCCACTCCCTTTCAACATCCTTCTGCTTGCCAGAGCAATGAGACAAGAAAAAGAAGTAAAAGCATCTAGACTGGAAAGGGAGAAATAAAATTATTCCTACACCCAGGTGACAGTTGTCTATATAGAAAGTCCCTAGGACTTTACCCAAAAAAGCTCATAGAATCAATAAATGAGTTTAGAAAGGTCACAGGATATGAGGGCAACAACAAAAAAATCCATCATATTTCTATGTACTGGTAATGAACAACTGGAAAAACAAATTTAAAAGCTATATCTCCCCCCAAAATATGAAAGACTTAGCTATAAGCTTAACAACACATGTGTAGGATTGAAGCGCTGAAAACTAGAAAATGTTAATGAAAGAGAGCTAAGTTTGGAGAGACATCTGTGTTCATTGACAAGAAGATTTTATAGTAAAGATGTCATTTTTCCCCAAATTGTTCTCTAGGCATAGTACACAGCACTAAATCTAAATCACAGCATTGGATGTGGTGGCTCCCGCGTGTCATCCCAGCACTTTGGGAGGCTAAGTCGGGAGGATCACTTGACGCCAGGAGTTTGAGACCAGCCTGAACAACATAGCAAGACCCTGTCTGTACAAAAAACAGAAAAAAAAAATTAGCCAGGCGTAGTAGCACACTCCTGTAGTCCCAGCTACTCGGGAGGCTAAGGCAGCAGAATTGCTGGACCCCAGGAGTTTGAGGTTGCTGTGAGCTAGTATGACGCCACGGCACTGTTGCCTCAGCAACAGAGTGAGACTTTGTCTCCAAAAAAATAAATAAATAAAAATAAATTAACTTTTAAAACTCATAACATTATTTTTATAGATATAAACTAGCTTAGTCTAAAGTTTATATGGAAAGGCAAAGGAACTGGAATAGCTAAAATAATTTTGAAAAACATAAAGTTGAAAGAGTCTTACCACTACTAATTTTAAAACTTACTCTAAAGCTACAGTAATCAAGACAAAGTTGTAATGGTAAACCAATAAACCCATAAGTCAGTGGAATAGTCCAGACATAGACCCACACAAGTAGAGCCGACTGATTTTTGCCAAAGGTGCAAAGACGATTCAATGAATTAACGAAAGTCTTTTTAGCAAATGGTCTTGAAACATTTGGACATTTACATGTAAAAAAATGAACTTGACCTCAACCTCATATGTTATACAAAATTCTTATACAAAAATTATATAAAAATTCTTATGCATCTCATATGAAAGTTAACTCAAAATACATTATAGATCAACATGTAAAATAAAAAACTATAAAATTTAGATAAGAAACATTGAAAAATCCTTGTGACCTTGGGTTCTTAGATATGACATCAAAAGCACAATCCATAGAAGAATAATTTGATAAATTAGACATCATCAAAACTAAAAATGTTCTGTCAATATCACTCTTAAGAGGATGAAAAGATAAGCTACAAACTGGAATAAAATATTTACAAATCACATCTCTAACAAAGAACTGGTATCCAGAATACATGAATCACTCTTAAAACTCAATAATAAGAAAATAACCCAATGAAAAAATAAAGCAAAAGATTTTAACAGACGTGTCACCAGAGGAGATACATGAATACAAGTGGCAAATAAGCACATGAAAAGACGTTCACTGTCACTGGTCGTTAGGGAAATACAAACTAAGACCACAATGAGTTACAATGCACCTATAGTGTAGCTATGATAATTTTTTTAGAAACTGACAATAGCAAGTGTTGGCGAGGATGGAGAGCAGCTAGAACTCCTGCGCATCGCTAGTGGGAGCACAACATGGTACAGTCCCTCTGAAAACAGCTTGACAGTTTCTTATAAACACACACTTTCCATATGACTCAGCCATCCCACGCCTATATATTTACTTGCAAGAAATGCAAACTTACATTCACATAAAAACCTGTACAGGAATGTTTATAGATGCTACTATATTCATAATCACCAAAGAACAGAAGTCACCCAAATGTCCTTGGATGGGTGATGGATAAATAGACTACAGCACATCCGTACAGTGGAATACTACTTAGCAAAAAAGAGGAACAATTGCAAATGAATTTCAAATGCATTGTGCTGTAAAGGATGCCAGTCTCAGAAAGTCTCATGCTCTGTAATTCCATTTATAATACATGAGGTTGTGGGAAAGCAAAAACAAACTATAGGGACGCAGAACACATCAGTGGCTGTCATGGCTTAGAAGTGGAGGAGAGGTTTGACTAAGGGGTAGTACCATTCGGGTGGCCACGTAATCTGATTGGGACGGTACTTACAAATCTAGATACATTGTAATATTCATAGAACTCTATGCCAAAAAGCTAATTTACTATAAGTTTTTAATAAGAATGAAAAATAAGAATAAATTGGGGAAAAATAAGAGTAAGTCTCCTATTCACTTCAGCTTTTAATCCCATTCTCTGTCACCACAACAGTTTCTGATTTCAGCTTTTACTAGTTAACACTAAAACATGAAATAACACAGACGGAAGTATGTTATTAGGATGACCTCTATTAACTTACTGATATAAATGGTAAAGAAATTAACTTTCACTTTTCACCTCTTCTCAGCTCCAGTGTGTTTCACATTGTTAACATTTATCACATTTATGATTTTGTGTTTTCCGTGCGCTAGATTGAATCTAAAAAACAGATCAATAAACAGGATTTACAATATGACCATATAAATATTATTCACAATGTAATAAAAGTGTGATCAGTCTGAAAGAGAAGGAAATGTTACTTTATAGCCTTGAAAACGTATCCCTGTTAAAACTCTCTCATTACTGGGTTGGCCACTTCTCCTCCCCAGCCCTGGGAGCCCTTCCTGCCTCAGGCTCCTAGGGGTAGGAAATGGGTGGGCTTCCCCTTCTAGCCCCCAAAGGAAGCCCTAGTTGGGGGCTGTCTTTTAGGGACTGGGCAACGTTTGGTTTTGGTCCCTCATTACTTGAGCTCTAAAGCTTCTGAAGCAAAGAACACAAGGCATGGCCGCCTTCTCAAAGGGAAGGGTCAGTACCTGTCTCCGTCCCTGCTTAATACTCCAAAGTATCATGGAACCGGGTGATATTTACAAAGTCCTTAGACAGGACCTGGCATGTATGAACACTGCGATCAGTAAGTTCTTTTACGTGTGTTCTCATGAGTGAGCGAGAAAGGACAAACGTAGGGTTGCTGACTTTCTGCCTTTATTCTCTAGAAATCTTCTGTAAACATCTTAAATTCCTTTAAAAAAGAAAGGGAGCATTGCCCAACTTCAGTTACAGGTACCGTGACCTAGAATAAGTTATTCCATAGTTCAGCTACAAGACAGATGTTTCCTGTTTCAGATTTGTCAATACCTTTAATGACTCCATCAACGTCACAATGAGTGGGAAGGTGTATGAAGATGTCACCAGTTACAACGCCAGCGAGTACCAGTTTTTTCCTTCTGGTGTGTAAGTACCTATACTGAACACTTTGCTCCAAAGTTCAAAGATTTCAAGTTTTTTTCTTTCAACTATACGTTGAAGCTTTTAATACCAAGAGCGTTATTGTTCTTTCTTTTAATAGAAAAAGCTATACAATAAGCTCACCGGAGATTTCACCGCAGTGTCCACGTGATTTCACGACTTTCTACCTTGGATTTGGCAGTGCTTACACCTTTGTGATCAAAAGGAAGGTGAGTGACTGCCTGCAGCGTGTGGGAAGTCCTGCTCACAGACACTTAGGTCGTAGGAGTGATTAACTAGAGTGCTATTAGGATCTGCATTTTAAATGCGCTCAGAATTCATTCACCGCTAATTCTTTAACATGGATTTAAGTTAACCATTAGAACTAAATAAAACAGACTGACTTCCTCTGGCTAAAAGTTCATGTTGACCGGTGTCTGATGCTTCCTTATACACTATGAACATGGACTTCAGGATCTTGTAGTTCAAAGGGATGGCAATGTTTTAAACAAACCTAATCTACTCTCTTGTTTAAGAGGAAAATACTATCGAACATGTTCCCAAACCCCACAAAGGCCGTCCCACCACAAGTACAAAATGCAGTGTTGTGTGTTTACATTGAAAGTGTGTACTGACTTGATAAATCACATCACATAAGCTAGAAAGTCATACTCAACTTGCCTGTTTGAACACTTTTTATTTGAGACACCATCTTGACGTTAACTTCTCCTTCCCCCTTTTGCCTTGTTGGCATAGGACGATGGCTGCCCTGAGGTGAAGGAGTTTGAGGATATTTCCCCCAACACAGTGAACATGGCTCTGCAGATCCCACAGTATTTCCTCATCACCTGTGGCGAGGTGGCCTTCTCTGTTACGGGATTGGAGTTCTCGTATTCTCAGGTCTCTCGTTCATCGTTTTTACCACCCCTCTGCCATACCCCTGCCTTCAGAAAATGCTGGTGCAACGTAATTTAAATTGGGCATGGCTGTATGTTTATAGTATTAGAAAGTTCTAGAAAGCATTATGGCATTCTCCCCAAAACAAGGCCCTTGAGATCACCAAGTCTTGTCTTTACTGAATAAGAATATTACTTGGTGCAGCTTTGAGAGTGCCCGTGTCCACGTGTGTCCGTATTCCCACGTCATGCGCTAGAGATTTGGAGTCCTGAGGAGGAGAAACTGTATTAGGGACACTCCCAGGGTCCTGAGAGTCAGTAGAGTCTATGTTCTGAAACAGCCGAATGCACCAGCTATGCACAGAAGTGCTCATTTACAGGCCCGCGTCCTCATTGTCTTGCAGGTTCCATCGAGGCCCCTCGGTATCTCCCAGTAAACACGCTGAGTAAGGCCAGCTTTAAAAACACGTTAAAATATGTGGTCGCCTGTCGGTCTGTTAGACTGTTGCTGGCGCAGGCCCTGGGTGCTCCGTGCAGTAGAAATCAGCCAGAGCCGAACGGCACTCACAGGCCAGGCTCTGCTGGGGCTCGTGTTCCAACGCCAGGCAGGCTGCCTGCATCAAGGGAGAGTCCTCAGGCTGCCCCCCAGCCAAGGGGGGTTCAGGGACAGTGTTCAAGAGGCTCAGGGAGGAAGGGGTGACGTGTCACCACATAAAGGGCGAGATGTTCTCAAACCTGCATAGTTCTACTACATGCTTCTTCATGTGTCTGATGTCTCATTAGCATGTAAAATCTCTACCCCTAGATGTGATTTTTAACATTAAAATGATATTATAATGAGGGAAAAATCACAGCAAGGTCAGTGTGGGGGTCTGTTCTGGCTGGAGGTGGTTACATCCGGATAGGTCTGGTTCCTTATCAGCTAGTGTCAGCATCCTGCTTCAGTGGGCCTGGGAGACTTTGCTCAAGAGACACACAGGCCGGGCGTGGTGGCTCACACCTGTAGTCCTAGCACTCTGGGAGGCTGAGGCACGAGGATCACTGGAGCTTAGAAGTTCCAGACCAGCCTGAGCAAGATTGAGACCCCGTCTCTAATAAAAATATTAATAGAAAAATTAGCTGTGTGTGGTGTCATGCACCTGTCCTCCCAACTACTGGGGAGGCTGAGGCAGGAGGGTCGCTTGAGCCCAAGAGCATGAGGTTGCAGTGAGCTATGATGATGCCACTGCACTCTACCCAGGGCAGCAGAGCAAGACTTTGTCTGAGGGAAAAAAAAAAAAACCAGACAGTTGGCCTCCTGCTTATGTGGATATGGGCTGAATTCCCATGGCTGGGAGGGCATTTGGTGTTTGCTCTTTTGTAATTAATTGGACTGGGTCGTGCTGCCCCATGTTGTCTCTCTTGGTCAGAAGTGAGGCCCAAGTCCTGTCCCTGCACTGTCTCAGGACTAACGAGGCCAAGTTTGTTGCCACCCACATTAAAGCTTAATGTTTGAACTATTTTGTCAAAACCACAGTCATAGGCATTGTGTCCCACAGTGCCTAGTCTCTTCCATTTCTGTAGTAAAGATGGTGAATGTGACTTGGACAATCCCTTTCTGTGATATCTCACAGTCACATAAAGGAGGTGACTGCAATACAGGTGACAAGAGTTTGCAGAGAGAGAGTTCAGTAAGGTGGCAGGAAAGCCACACAGGGGCAAGGTTACAGCCTGGAGAGAAGCCTCCATTGAGGGGAGGAACATGCCGTGCTCACGGCTTTGCTTGGAGACTTCTGTGGAGACAGAAAGAGTTTGTCCGTAGATTTGTCCATTTAACTAAGAGGACAGCTTGGCAAGGATGTGGAGTGAGACGCAGGGACTCCTGTATGCTCCTGCATGAGTGTCTGGGTGTCTTGTTACCCAAGCGATGAACCTCTGCACACTTAAACGAACCTGACATTTCATATGCATTTGTAGGGTAGACTGCTCAATGAAATGAACCAGTGAGATGTGTTCTCCTGCTCCGAGGCTGACATCTAGACTGGGATTCTCTTTGCTTTGTTTCCTCAGGCTCCTTCCAACATGAAGTCGGTGCTGCAAGCAGGATGGCAGCTGACGGTGGCTATTGGCAACATCATTGTGCTCATCGTGGCAGGGGCAGGCCAGTTCACCAAACAGGTACTGGGTGGCTAGGAGATTGCATGTACCCCTGTCTCATCTATCAATATTAATAGTCATCATGACCCTCCCTAACTGTTTACACGGTCTACATGGCCATTTGGGCTAATGGCTGGATAAAACTGCCCGACCAGCCCCGTAGGGTTGTCACGAAATAGCCTATGGCAGTGTCTGCTGATCCTTCTTGTCTCCACTTGGTATTATGTTATTGGTGATTGTCTTAGTCCATTTCACGCTGCTATAAAGGACTGCCTGAGACTGGGTAATTAATTTATAAAGAAAAGAGGTTTATTTGGCTCACAGTTCTACAAGCTGCACAAGGAGCATGGTGCCACCATCTGCTTCTGGGGAGGGCCTCAAGATACCTTTGGTCACAGCAGAAAGTGAAGGGGGGCAGGTGTGTCACATGGCAGGAGAGGGAGCATGAGAGGAGGTGCCAGTGTCTTTTAAACACCAGCTCTCTGGTGAACTAACAGAGCAAGAACTCACTCACTACCATGGGGAGGGATCCAACCCCGTGACCCAAACACCTCCCACCAGGCCCCACCTCCAACACTGGGGATCAGATTGCAACATGAGATTTTGAGGGGCCAGATATCCAAACTATTGACGACAAAAATGAACAGATTGTGTAAGGTACATGCACCCTATGTGATTTACTCCCAATGGAAACATCTCTCCCAGCTTCAATGAGCACAGCTTAGCAGCCCCAAAGCAGACACATTATCCATAAACTTCATAACACCTGAAGGTAAAACCATTCTACAGGTGGTTGTAATTTTCCAGCTACAATAAAATGAGGGCTTTTCTGATATTTAAACTCTTTGCTCCAGCACCGCAGCAGATCAGCCTCATAAGGGAGTTGTCTTATCCCAGCCGTTTCATTACTTCCTGCACCGGGTTCCATCAGAGGACGTGCTAATGCCATGTGCTCATGAGCTCCAGGGGCTTCCAGAGGGTGACACGGGGGTCTTGACTTGACCCTGTTCAGCACATTTTCTTTCCCTCAAAGGTGCTGCTTGGTGTTCTCTTGGGCCTCATCCTTCCAGGGGCAGCCACATGGCTTAAGGCTTGGGACTTTTAGAAATTCTCTTTCATCTTCCCAGAGTCTTTTGTTGCTGTACCCCAGTGCTATTAGGAAAATGTCATTTATGTTGGCATCTATCTATGTCGGACATTGCAGAAAAGCTGGCCATACTGTTTCTGTATTGGCCGTCTACCAATTGCCCATAATTTAATTTCAAAACGCCTTCCATTTGGACATAGCAAGAAAATAGACACGCAATATATACATTATTATGACCTGTATTATTTTCGTTTTTTTTCTTGCTCCAACTCCAACTCCAAAGTGGGCTGAATACATTCTATTTGCTGCATTGCTTCTGGTCGTCTGTGTAATATTTGCCGTCATGGCTCGATTCTATACTTACATCAACCCAGCAGAGATTGAAGCTCAATTTGATGAGGATGAAAAGAAAAAGAACCTGGAAAAGAGTAACCCATATACGACATTGGGGCCCATGTCACAGACACAGATGTGAAGGCCAGGAAGCAAGTGGAGGAGGACTTGGCCCAGCACACGCCCTGACCTCTGTCCCCAGGTGGCAGGACAGACACCCCATGGATGGCCCCAGGTGGGGAAGACTTCAGAATTGGCAGCCAAACCATGAAAGCTATGAAGCCAGCAATGAATCTAAAACTCTGCAAGAAGTCTCTATTTTTTAACTGTTATTTTAAGCACACACACAAACACACAAACACACACACACACACAAACACACTTTCACAGCCCTGAGAACATACCCTGCATTTGTCTCCTTTCCTATCGCACAGATGAAATTGTTTTGGACTAACTTGATTTTCCAACAAAGTTCCATATTGTCTGCATTTTAACACATTTCTGAAAACTCTGCTAATTAGAGGCAGGAAACAATGCCAAAAGTGAATTTATAGGTTTTACAATGGTCTGTAATAAGTACCAGCTAGTATTATCTGGTAACTTTAACTTGGGTTTTTTTGTTTTGTTTTGTTGTTCCAGTCCCTACCTCTTTTTAAATTATGTATAACTCAAAAGACCACTTGGGTGAAGGCCAGTAATGATTTTTTAAGTGTCAGTGGTATAAAATAAATTTCTGTTCTTAAGAGTAAGTGTTCATGTGTCTGTGGGTCGGGTAAGAAAACTTGAACACGTTATGTGATTATAAAATCACATGCACACTATGTGCTCATTAGAATTTCATAGGAAGTTGATAAAAGTATTAACAAAAGCAATGTCCACATATGAAAAATCCCAGGAACATGAAACATCAAGGTTTGTTTCTCCCTGGTCCTGTGTTTCCCAGGGCCAGACAGACAGATGGATGGATAGGTAGATGCATAGGAAGACTTCTCTTTTGTGACCAGGATCATGAAGTGCATATTTGTGAACCATCTCACAGTGTCTGTCTCAATCACCATGAAATTTTTATGCTGGAGTAAAACTTCTTCCAAAACATTATAAACACTTAATGCCTAATTCATCCTGTAGCTATTTGTCACGTAACCATCCCAGGTGCCAGGCCAGAGAGACTGTACTCTGGCACTCCTGCACAAACAAGCCACAGTGCCTAGACACACCCATGCCCAGCTCTGAAGACTGAAACTGCCTCCTGGATTAGCAAGATCAGGTCATGTTTGGCCTCTAGGATGTTTCGTCGTCAACCTCACGGTGGGGCTGGGACCGTGCAGGCTGCACTGAGGGAGAAACTCAAAGTCCAGAGTGAGAAACACAAATGTCATTGTCAAACCTTGCTTAACACCTTCTGAGCTTTCGAGTCAAGTCATAATTCCTTAACTAGGGCCTGTGAGGCTCTTTCCTTTTTTTCTGAACACATTTCCTTTCTCTCCGTGCACTGTGATCCAACTAACAGTGAGCTTCTTGTCACTCCTGGAATGCATCCAGTTCTCATTCCCGGGTCAAAGGCAAAGAAAAATCAGATCCTGAAACACTGATTCTCTACCCACCTCCTCCAGCCCTCCACCTGGCTACGTCCTCTCCGCTTCCAGGCCACTTCCTGCAGCAGTTTTCCTGTGTTCCCTGCCCCCATGGTGGGTGTGTCCCTGCTCTGAGCTCCCACAGCACATCTTAACGTTCCCAAGTCCCACGACCTCAGTGCTTTGTCACTGTCTGGCTTTCCCTACACTGAGAGCCCTCTGGGGATACTCTGTCACCATTCAGTCTCCAGAACATGGTCGTCCTCTATTTGTGAAATAAACAGTGAGTTGGAAGAGGCGAACTAAACAGATTTTTGGAATTTAATCAAGGTGTGATTGGAATGAGGCTAATTAGCAAACTCTAGTGTGAAAGACTAGATATAAGGGACGACTAACTCTACCACTCTGATTATCTCTCCCCTCTAATGATATATTTTGCCTTTGACACATTTGTCAAATGGTGACATTTGGGGGAAGATATAGGGGAAACAAATGGTTGCAGTGATGAGCATTCAATTTTCGTTACCCCACTATTAACAATAATCCAAAAAGAACTAATCCTAAATCCTCAAGAGATTGTAATGCCAGCTCTGATAGCCACTGTGCAACCTGGGGAAACTCTTGCTCTCTTAGATCGCATTCATCGTCCTGTGATAAAGAGAACACCAGACGATCTGAGGCCTTAAAATCCCTTTGTTTGAGGTGCTGCCACACAACAGACTTCCGGATGTTAGAATGAAGCGCACTGTAGCCCCTCAGCTGCCTCTGATACCCCACTGCAGTGTGCTTTGCATGGGGGCGGAAATGACGCCTCCAGGATCTCCTTCAATCTTTGATGGATGTGAGCAGGGCGCAGAGGGGCACTTCGTGCTTTGCCCATCAGGGTTGGCTTTCCAGAGCAGTCCTCCCTCCTGGCTCTTCTTCAACCACTTCTTCCAAGCATGATCCAGCCGTGCAGGTGCCAGTGTGGGCGTGCTATTTGCAAGACCTCACACGATGGCACTTGTCGCAGGGGGCGGAGGGAATTGCATGAGGCCATGTCAACACCCTCTGCTCATCTGCGCTTCCCCAGAAACCCATTTTTTGTGCTATACGCCTTTCTCTAAATTCCACGCTGATCAGCATATAAGCAACATGCTACACTGACCTGAACATTGTTAAAGTATAATTTGGCATGGCTGGGAGAGCTGGAGAAGCCCCTGGAACAGACATGCTTTAACTGGACATAGCAGGACTTCAGACCTTATACCGAAAAGCCAGAATATTCTGAGAAGTGTTAATAATGTATATATGAATCTTTTCCATGTCAGGTCATCCTTGATTTTTTTAACTTATTTTTTATTAAAATGTTTTATTTTTAATTATTAAGGGTATAACAGCTGTATACATTTATGGGTACATGTGATGTTTTGATACAGGCATAGCATGTGTAACGATCACACGAGGGGAACTGGGCTATCCATCACCTCAGCCGTTCATCACCTCTCCGTGTGAGGAACGTTCCAATTCCACTCTTTACTTATTTTAGAGTATGCCCCACCTTATTGTGGATGGCTTATTCTTGCTCCATAATTTTTTTTCATTTTGTGAATGTCCATTATTTCTTTCAAGGTGCTAAAATATTTGTTTTGAAATCCCTTTTAGACTTTATAAAAGTACTTTAGTAAATGTATGTTCAGGTTTGATTTTTGTTGACCATTTGAGACATAAATTTTTGTCATGCATTCTGGAGTTTTTTGGGCAGCCTCATTTCTCTTAATGACAATAAGACTGGTTAATATTTATTAAACACTGAATATGTACAGACAGCCCGCTAAACATTCTCCTGAATTAAGCCTACAGTACGCAATCCTTGCCACAGCCCTGTACTGTAGGTCCCTGTGATTGTTCCCACGCACAGAGGAGGAGACCAAGGCACCTTCCCAGGCCACACCCACAGCCTGGCCCCGGAGCCCAGGCAGCAGCCATTGCAGAAACCTGCCCCTCACTGCCAATGCTGAATGACAGCACGGATTCGTTCAGTTTTAATCCTTATAACAATAGTAAGGAACATTTTATTACCCACATTTTAGGGATAAGGAAACTGAGGAATACAAAGTTTAAGTAACTGGCCCAAGGCCATATATCCAGCGACTGGCTGAGTCAGGATTTGAACCCCAGCATGTCTGAGCCCAGAGCACGCCCTGTCTCTTGACTGCTGGACTATCCTGTCTCCTCACCTGTAACAAAAAGCCAAACTGTGACAGCTGCGGCTACGGGAAGGGGCAGGGGCCGCAGAGAGGCAGCTGTCTGCTGGGGAGACAGGAGGTTCCCCAGGCCTGGCCTCGGTGGACAGGAGGGGCGGCGTGGGGAGCAGAGGCTGGAAAACCTGCTCCCAAGGACTGTACGGGAAGCAGTGAGCACGTGTGCCCTCTCAGAGCAGTCAGGGCTCCTGTGAGGACGCTGGACCTGAGTTCTGAAGGCCCCTGTCGCCAGTGGAGTCCCAGCGGGTGACTCCTCCAGCCAGGTCCTGGTGATCCGCTCTGGAGAGCACCAGTGTCTCACCTGGAGAGGCTGCCACCTGGGGCAGAGGAGAGGCAGGTTGGGGTTAGGGTTAGGAGCGCCCCTGAGTCTACAACCAGGACAGCAAAGAAAGGGCGGGCTCTTTTATCTATTTATTTTTCTAAATCGTGGTAAAATACACACGTGATAGCATTACCATTCTCTTAAGTGTACAATTCAGTGGCATTAAGAACATTGTCATTGTGCAACCATCACCACCATCCATCTCCAGAACTCTCTTCATTTTGCAAAACTGAAACTCTGTCCCCATTAAACGCAAACTCCCTCTTCCCCCTCATCGCAGAGGCCACTGGGGTGGAAGAAATGAGAAGGCAATTCTCCTTCCACTTGCCTCCGTCCTGGCTGGGATGCCCAGAGCTCATGGGCTTTCTAGAAGGTGCTGTGTGCCAGGCTCTGTCTCGGGCACTGATCCCGGGCAGTGAGCAGGGAGAGAGCCCGGGCCTCCAGGGCTCCCAGGTTCTCAGGTGACCACCCCAGCAGCAAGGGTGGCTTTCTGTCTTACTTCCCAGCAAGTCAGAACCACTCGGGTTTCATTTGATGTCGTGTCTGGCACGTTCTAATGAGACTCCTAGACTCTACACATATGCTTAAAGACTCAAAAGGGGCTGGACACAGTAGCTCAAGCCCATAATCCCAGCATTTTGGGAGGCCAAGGTGGGAGAATCACTTGAGACCAGGACTTGGAGACCAGCCTGGACAACAGAGCAAGACCCTGTCTCAAAAAAAAAAAAAAAAGATTCGAAAGAAACAGGAACTGAATCTGGTAGGTTGCTATCCTGGTCCCCCTGGAACAAACAGCCACACATTTCTTAGGGCTGAATGTTCTAGAGGCCAGTGTGAGGCTTTAAGAGCTTTCTAATTTCTGGGAGTCAGAATAGGTCCAAACAGGCCTCTGGGCTTGGGAACTGTCTTATTCCTGGCTAAGTCAAGGAAAACAGTTTCCATTTCATAGCTTGCTCCTAAAAAGTTCACTGTCTCCATAGCCTCAGGAAAGAGAGGGAAGGGA